TAGGAGGCATGCTTAGTGTTGAGCCATTTGGCATAATATTTGAAATGTCATAGCCCCCGTCAACCAGGACATTGTCGTTTGGCTCATAAAAATGAACAACACCACTTTCCCTTGTAATATGCTTGTCTAATACCTTTCATCCCCACAAGTCAACATGTTCCTTATAAGATAGTGACTGGTCTGAAGTCTTTCAATGTGTTATGGTAAATTTAATCTGACCAAGTTTTTAGAATGTGCTAGCAGTGGATATAGTCTCTGTATAAATAGTAGGCCTCCATCGGTCAGGGTCGACCATGGGTATAGCATCCTAATTGTGTGTTTGGCTGGAGCATCTGCGGCTATGACTGTGAAGGCCAATGCGTGAATGGCAGTCCCTGCCGCAAGTGCTGCACGTGTATGCTGTTTGTTGGACGTTGCTGATACGAAGTTTTCTGCGGGTCCGCCTCCTTGTGGCAGCTTGTGTCAGCTTCTCTTCTCCTGTTTTGAGGTGCCTTGTAACGGCTCCTCTCCATTGTGACCGATCAGCTGCGAGATTTTCCCAGGTCTCTGTGTCAATTCCTACAGCCTTCATGTCACGCTTCAAAGCATCTCGGTATCGCAGCTGTGGGCGTCCTCTGCGTCTACTTCCAGTGGCTAGCTCACCATACAGTAAGTCTTTGGGGATGCGGCCGTCTGGCATGCGATGAACGTGGCCCAGCCAGCGGAGTCTACGTTGCCTGAGTAAGGTTGACATGCTTGGCAGGCCCGCACGAGACAAGACCTCTGTGTTTGGGACTTTGTCTTGCCACGAAATTCCCAGGATGCGGCGGAGGCTTCTCATGTGGAAGGTGTTCAGGCGTTTTTCTTGTCTGGCGTACATCGTCCATGTCTCGCTGCCGTATAGTAGTGTACTGATGACACAAGCGCTGTATACTGCCATCTTGGTCTTCTCTGTGAGCATGGGGTTGGACCACACACGTGTAGTGAGGCGTGCAAGTGTGGCAGCCGCTTTTCCAATTCTCTGGTCGAGCTCGAAGTCTAAGGAGAGATTGTCAGTGACAGTGGAGCCTAGATACGTAAAATGATGGACCACTTCGAGCTCGTAATCGTCGATGGTAACGGATGGTGGTGTTTCTGTTCCTTGTTCCAGGACTTTAGTCTTTTTCAGGCTGATGGTAAGCCCAAAGTCTTTGCAGGCCTGAGAGAAATGGTCCATGAGTGACTGAAGTGCTTGCTGAGTATGGCAGGCTACTGCTGCATCGTCAGCAAATAGCATGTCTCTTATCAGGGCTTCACGCACTTTGGTCTTTGCTCGGAGACGGGCAAGATTGAAAAGCCTGCCATCTGATCTTGTATGCAGGTAGATCCCTTCTTTCGATGCGCCAAATGCATGTTTCAGAAGGAAGGCAAAGAAGATTCCGAAAAGGGTTGGGGCAAGTACGCAGCCCTGTTTGACACCGCTGTTGATGTTGAATGACTCAGAGGTTCTGCCGTTGAACTGCACAGTCCCCTGCATGTTGGCATGGAAGGACTCAATCAGGCTGTGTAGTTTAGGGGGGCAGCCAATTTTAGATAGAATTCTGAAGAGACCCTCTCTGCTTACAAGATCAAACGCCTTGGTCAGATCGATGAAGGCAATGTACAAAGGCATCTGCTGCTCTCTGCATTTCTCCTGAAGCTGGCGAAGGGAGAATACCATGTCTATCGTTGATCTTTCTGCTCGAAAGCCGCACTGTGACTCTAGATAGATACGTTCAGCCAGTTTCTGAAGTCTTACCAAAATAACCCGAGCAAAGACTTTGCCCACAACGCTGAGTAAGGAGATGCCCCTGTAGTTGTTGCAGTCACTGCGATTTCCCTTGTTTTTGTAGAGGGTAACGATCTTAGCATCCCTCATGTCTTGTGGTACGGCCCCTTCTTTCCAGCACGCACATAGGACATTATGTAAAGGCTGTAATAGTGTAGTCTTGCAGTGTTTGATCAGGTCAGGGGGATCCCGTCACTGCCTGGAGCTTTCCTTGAGGCCAAGCTGTTGATAGCCTTGCTGAGTTCGCCATTAGTGGGTTCGTTGTCAAGCTCTTCCATTACAGGTAAGCATTTTATGGCATCAAGGGCTGATGATGTTACTACATTCTGTCTTGAATAGAGATCAGAGTAGTGTTCCACCCATCTCTCCATCTGTTGTCCCTTGTCTGTGATGGCTTCCCCTGAGGTGGATTTAAGGGGAGCTGTCTTGTTCTGGATTGGACCTATTGATGTTTTGATGCCTTCATACATCCCTCTTATGTTCCCAGTAATTGCTGCAGTCTGGATGGCTTCGCTGAGTTCGGTCCAGTAGTCGTTGGCACAGCGTCTTGCAGTGTGTTTGACTTTGTTCCTTATAGCTCGGAGAATCTGAAGATTTTTCTCGCTGGGTAATCGCTTTTATTCCGTTAGAGCGGCACGCTTTGCTTCTATGATGGGGGTCATCACAGCGGATTTAGCTTTGAACCAGTCATGCGATTTCGAGGTACTTTTTCCAAAGGTGGCCAAGGCAGTGCGGTGCATTGTATCCCGTAAGGTGGTCCACTTCTCAGTTGCGGAGTCCCCTGACTGTAATGTTGCTAGATGATTCTCAAATCTCTCAGCAAATTGCTCTTTAAGATCAGGCTGGCTCAACTTAGTGACATCAATACGAGGGCTCCCTTTCTTCTTGCCACGGTGGAACCTTTTCGGATGGAGCCTGACCTTGCAACACACCAAGGAGTGGTCTGTGTCACAGTCCGCGCTGTGGTAAGAGCGTGTGTGGAGGACGTTCTTAATAGCGGTTCGTCTGACAAGGATAAGGTCCAGCTGATGCCACTGCTTTGAGCGTGGGTGTCTCCAAGAGACCTTGTGCTGAGGTTTGGTCTTGAAGAAAGAGTTGGCTATGCAGAGTTTGTGATAGGTGCATAGCTCGAGCAGTCTCTGGCCATTGTCGTTCATCTTGCCTATGCCAAACTTTCCAAGGCAAGAAGGCCATGATCTTTGATCAGCTCCTACTCTGGCGTTGAAGTCGCCCAGAAGGATAAGTTGTTCTTTGTTTGGGATGTTGCTGATCGTGGCTGTGAGCTGATCATAAAACTCGTCTTTAATTTCAGGTGTAGCAGAGAGTGTTGGAGCATACACGCTGACGAGAGTTACAGGGCCTGCCGTGGTGTTCAGGCAGAGGGTGAGGAGTCGCTCTGAGCCGCTGTTGCCTGGCTTTACCATGTTCAGCAGGTTGTTCTTCACTGCAAAGCCCACCCCATGTTGACGCGGTACATTGGGGCTTTTCCCCTGCCAGAAGAAGGTGTAGTCTTTCTCCTTCAGTCTTCCAGAGTCTGCAAGTCGTGTTTCTTGTAAGGTGGCAATGTCCACGTTAAGCCTCCTAAGTTCGTCGTTAATGATGGCTGTTTTCCTGGAGTCGCTGACGTCCTGAAGGTCTTCTGAGAGGCCCGTCAGCATTGTTCTAACGTTCCAGCAGCCTAGTTTCAGGACTGGTTTCTTTTGATGATTTTTGTTATTGCCTGGTGCAAAGTTTGCAGTCTGCCTGTTGGATATCTCCTAATCTCCATGCACCCAATGAAGAAAGCAAACCGTGGCGGGACAGCACCTTATTGGCTGGGGGCTGCCCAGCTTGAGGCGGGCGGTAGCTGTCCAGTGGGATTCGAAGATCCCTCCCACCGACGAGAACGACCCCTGGCGCTTCACTCTACGCCAATCGAGCAGTAGCTTATCACCGGTAAACTGCCATTCTCCGTGTTGTGTCTACGTCATGGGCGTAGCTGGAGTGTCCTCTCCAGGTGTAGTGCGAGGTGTGTTGGTGTGTAGTGTAGGCGGATGCTAGCCTGGGCAGTGTTTTATGGAGAACAAGCTGTTGCCCATGTAACATGTTCCCCCTCTCCACGTCACTGATGGGGCCAAAGGAACAACAAGGTCGTTACAATTTGGGACCAGTGCCGTCGCAGGAGCTGCCAGCACGGGTTGAATTCAACTTCGAGCTGCCTTAGGGACTCCAACTCCGGATTTTTCCTCGAGGTTTACTCCTGAAGCCTTTTCCATGTGTGGATATAGCCGCAAGGCAGCAGAGGTTTGGGATAAGGGTTTTCCTTCCCCTAGGTAAACTGCCTTTCCAGGCTAGCGAGCTCTACCTGCCCTGTGCTGTAACCCTAGCAGGGGTGGCTGCGGGGCTGTAAACACTTGCCAAAGGTGTCACCCCAGACTCTGGTGGGCGGGGTCGTCCATGTCCCCGTGGTAGGCTGAGGTCCAACCTGTCCTACCCCAGTGCCCATAGTCTCTGTATAAATATTTCACTGTAATCTAAGGTAATTCTCGCAATGGGTATTCTGCACACTTATGGTATGTTCTCTGTATTCTTGTGATGGGAAGAGAGAGTCCAGGGAGTTTCTTAGAAAAAAAATTTATCCACTGAGTGTGAATTTGTGAAAGCAACACTCACCCTTATTCCAAATTGGCATTAGAGATTTTGCACAAACAGTCCTGCCTTCAATCTCATCAGAACAATAAGCAACTCTTCAAGGTAGTTAAGAGTCCTTGACTTATGATTGGTTTTATCACACTGTCGGTATTTCTTTGTTTTAAAGCAGCTATTCTTTATATGGTTAGCTCTGAGATAAATTAGGCTGCAATTATTTTTTGGAAGGATTCCTCTTTGATCTTTTGATCATTAAAACTGTATGTAAGAGGCTAAATCGTGTTCTTTTTTGCACTAAACAAATAAAATTCTACAACTGATGCCTTCCATGGAAACCATTTACAGTTCAGATTATTCTTTTGAGCTGCACATGTCTACATAGTTAATTTAAATGATTTAATTTAATGATTCTAAGAGTTACAGACCAATAAAAACTGATTTTAGCCCACCCCTTTCAATCTCTGGTGGCCATTTTGGATTTTAGCAGAATTGTTTTTCTCACAGAAGTACCTCTAATCTTGGCAAAATAGCATTTGCACTTATTAATTGCTTATGATAAGGTACATGAAAAGAATAAAGTTCATTTTCAATGTTCAGTCTCACTCAGTATGGTAAATTTTGAAGTAAGGTGCGGGACAAAGTCCTGGCTTGTGTGCACAATCCCCACAGTGGTATTTGCTTTCTTTTTTTGTTTTGGTGCACACAACACATCTCTTCTGTGGATGCTACTTGCTCTGTGTTGGGGTATGAGCTCTGGAAATTGGCGACCAGAGAAATGATCAGGAGGTGTAAGGGCAGAGGGCTCAGTAGCAGTTGCAGTAAGTAAAACATTGATACAATCAAGCTTGAATCTCAATAGTGGTTTTCTGCTGCCTTGCTTATAGAATGTGAGCATACAAGGGCCCTTCTTCAATGAAATGGAAAGCCATTTTTTGGTCCACTTCATGCTTTTTCACAGGCAAGAGAGGGTGCCAATCATCTTGTCATTCCTGTCAACACCCTTGATGTACTAGTTATAGTTGTCTGCAAATTTGAGCTTTCTGACCACATTGCCATGTCTGTCATGCTTTGCTATGCTATGGAGACACTGAAAAACAAAAGTTAAATTGCGCATAGTATAAGGGGCTTTAAGGGAATTCCTACTTAGTTGGCATAGTGGTTGATGTTGACTAAAATCACTATTCTTCAGAATAATTCTGTGGCCTTTGTTTGAAGTCATTCGAAAGATTTGTATCTAAAAGGAGCTAAGTTGTTCCAAAGAAAATTGCAACAATCTAATTTGGGAAGTATCGTGGTTGTAAAGACTTTAAGTTATTATGTACCCTACTAAACAAACTAAGACAACTAGATATCTTCTTATTCAGCTGAGTAACATGTTCCTTATAAGATAGTGACTGGTCTAGGTATATGCCTAAATACATATAAAGTGGTACACAATTTATAACTTGACCTCCAAGTTAAACTTCAATGAGATTTACAGAGTCAATCTGATTAAGTTTCAGAGACGTTCCAAAGATGACATATTCAGTTTTCTTGGGGATGAATAAATAGATCACTCTTGTTAGACCAAACCAAAAGGAACTTGACCTCATCACTCAACACTTGCAATGGATGGTTAGCATATGATGCAGCATAATAGATGATTAACTCTCCATTAAATGTAAGTTGGTCTATTGATCTGAAACTGGGCTGAATCAATGGGAGTTTTTTGACTAGCAAATAACAGAACTGGAATGTGCCCACCAGGTCAGCATGTCATAACATATACTTTGAGAAGCTTGGTGTAAAGATATTTTACATCAGAATTTTTTCTGCATCATACTCCCATGGAAGGTACCAAAATTACTAAATTGAAGTGAGGAAAATTTTTTTGTTGATTCCCCTCACAAATTTAATGATTCTGTTCCCATTTGATTTGTCCAAGTTTGTCCAATTGGAACTCATCTAATGAAGACAAGGATGAGTATGAAATGGCATAGAATGACTCAACATAGCATGACCCAGTGTTACCTGTTTAAGTGGTCATCATGTTCTTCCATATGTTGGCAACTGTTGTAGTTATCCAATTGAGATCTCAAAAACTTGATTTGGCGAAAAATAAAATTGATCACTATGCTGTGTTCACATAAATTATTTTTTAAAAACGGTCTAGCATGATTCAGTGTTGTTTGATTAGGTGGTCATCAATTATTCAATGAAAACTTAAATGAAACTGGTTTGTGTTCTTTTTCCAAAATGTTCTTCAATCCATTGGTAATTGTTGTAATCAACCTGATGAGATCTCAAAAACATTGATGTGGCTAAAAAAAAAAACATTGGAAATTGGTCAGTATGGTGTGTTCACATTGTTTAGTTATTGAAGCAAATATAAAATGTGTTTTTTTCCTAGGAAGCTGGTCCAACTAGCAAGTACGTAAACAATCTGTATTGGCAGCATTGCAATACATGCCAAAAGATGAACTATTGATATAAGATCTCATTACCTTTTTTGAACTAAAATTAAAAAAACATCAAGGAAAGAAGATGAAATTTGACTTGTACACAATTCATCTAAAACTTATGTTACAAGAGGAATTGAATTTTTTTCAAACATTTTTCTCTGCAATGTTGGCAAATTAGGATAATGAAAATCAATGTAGGCATAGTGCCTTCTTCCTAACAGGGTGTTAACCATTCACTCTTTAAAGTACTATTGACTTATCCTGCAAACTTCTATCTTAGACATTCATGTCATCAAAAAATAAATGAAAGGTAAATCGTTATAATGCTTTAACCCTTTTCTTTCTGAGTTTTTCTGAAGGTTTTGTTTACGTTTTGACATTGCTATAGAAAAGCTCTTTGTTTCTTGCAAGCTTTCAAGAAAACCTCTAAGACCTATACATTTTCTTAAAGCTTGAAAAATTTGCTACCTTTTGACCATGAGGGAATTAATATTTAATGCATTAGTTAATCATTAAAAAATTCAGAACCTATTAATATATCACTAGAATTATGAAAAACTAACTGGTTGTCTTACAATTTCAGGATTATTCAATAGGCTACTAACATATTTTACAATTTTACAATCTACAGCATATTAACAAGCTTTGGAACCAATAAAATTAGCAAGAACTGATTCCTGTGTCTCATTTTGTCCCAGAAAGTAGGCTTATAAGATATGCAAATTTTCACTGACTCGAGGACTGTTACTAAGTGAACTAGAAATTGTCATTTGCAGATAAACTCAATCAAAATGTTCCAGTTTTATTTTGTGTGATAATTCCTGAAGCATGGGGCCACACAAAGTCCCACATTACAATCCAGGCACATAAATGAGCATCGCTTGACCCGCCCAGCAGCTTTGCACACTGCACACTCGCTCCTCCGGCCGTCCTTTTTCATTATAGGGTACATGTTGTGGGAAGTGCCTCTCAGTAAATCTGGACTCAAGGGGATTAATTCTAGGCCTTCCTTGATCCTTTCTTCCATGATAATTTTCTACAAGTTTGTGTATAAGATCAATACGAAACTCCAGGTGAGTGCGGGGATCATGATTTGTTGATTCCGATTCACAAATAAAAGCATTTACAATACTTCTCTCCAGCAAAAAGAAAAAAATCCTTGGAGGCCATTTCTTTGTTTGAATGCCAACAGTAAAATAAGAACACATTTGATCATTTCTATCAACTGCTCCCATGTATTTGTTGTACATTTGTACAACTTCTGGGCAGGGAACATCTTCAAGAGTACCATCCTTTTTCCTACGCTTCGCAAACACTTGATCATCGGGTTTTGGGGCAGGGTTGATTGTACCAAAAATGTATAGGTTTCTTGTCCTGCCAAGTAAGAGCCACAAGACGTCCCTTCACTCGGACACAAGTGCTGCCCTCGTGCTAGCTTGTCTTCTTTCTTTGGTATTATTTCTTGAGGTAATCCCTTGGAATGTGCCCTCACAGTTCCACAAGCAAAGGTTTGTCTTTCTAATAAATCTTCCATGAGAGGGATACTTGTAAAAAAAAATTGTCAAAGAAAATCCAATAGTTTTTGTCATACAGTTCTTCACACAAGCTTGTTACAACTTTATATCCAAGCCTCTTTCCTTGTATGTCGTCCTTTCCCTCATAAATATTGAAGTCACACATGTATCCAGACACAGAGTCAGCTCGGACCCAAGCTTTTATCCCCTTTTGATGGGTTTGAGGGGCATGTATTGTTTTAGAGATGTTCTACCTTTGTAAGCAATCATGGCTTCATCAACTGCCTGAATGCAGTGAGGACTGTACTGTTGTTTGAAACGTGTTTTCAAGGAAAGTAAGAGAGGCCTCACCTTGTACAGCTTGTCAAATCCTGGTTGTCCTCGAGCTGGCATTTTAGAATTGTCACTGAAGTGAAGATACCTCAGAATTACAAAAATCTGTCTCTTGTCATAACAGATGCAAATGATGGGACTCCTAAAACCCACTCTTTTGACCAGTAATGTGAAACTTGGGGCAACTGTTTGATTCCCATGCCAACGAGCAAACCAAGCCAGGCTTTGAATTCAGCCACAGTCAAAGGGTTAGTCCAAAGCGGGTTTCTTTTTTTCTTTGCTTCAACTTGGCTTTGCTCAGCAAATCTGTTTGTTTCACGAACAATGTATTCAAGCAATTCCATGTCAAAAAAAAGCTGAAAGAATTCATGGCTGATGCATCCTCTGGCAGTTCTGTTTTTGCGCCTGTCGCTTGAACACATGCTGGTGGGGCATTTATTTCTCCAACAGGTTCTCTCCACTCAAATGTACGATTTGGAAAGCCCTCAAAGTCTTCATCGTTGCTGTCTTCCGCAAACAAATTTGAAGAAGAGTCAGTGTCATTTCCATCGCTCTCTGATGAATTCACATGTTGACGAACACTTGAAGTTTCAGTTCTTTCTCTTCCCCTTCTCCTTCTTTTTCTTCGAGGTTCCTCAAGTTCGTCTTCGCTCGAAGAATACACGGGATTTGTTGACGATCCTAACTCGCCAGCCTGCTCAATTTCTTCTTCTTCCAATTCTAGGTCGGAGTTTACGCCGTCGAACGGTATTCCAAGCGAAATAACTCCATATCTTTCAGGCGCTCTCCTTTCCCTTTGGTTTCGTGTCGCCATGTTTAAAGTTTAACGATATTTCGGCCGAAAAAAATTCATAAAAACTGCAGCTTTTTACCTATTTCCACGTGCTTCGAATCAAATGAAAGCTTTTCTTGCTGAGGACGCGATGCGCACGTTTACATTTAGGGGGGGAAGACCGCTGAGTTGAAAAACAGCCAGAACTGGCATTACGTCATTTGCCCCGATTAGATCGGGGCTTAGAAGGAAAAGGGTTAAAAAAGAAAACCTATGAATTTCAATGTAGGCATTAAACAAATACCTAAGGAAAAATCACTCAAAATAGAAATGAAAATACAATCATTAATTTAAACAATTGAAATGTTAGTTAAAAACATATACATAAATTGATTCTTCAAAACCTGCAGGAAAAAGGGATGTTTTAAAATATTTTTTATAAATATTGTTGTTTTCCCTGAAGTTTTAAAATAGCAATTGGACTCTATTGCAAACTGCTGAGTATACTTACAATTGTACTATCTCTTTTGTCGCTGTCACTGTACAGTCACCATTATGATCATGGGGATATTTCCAAGATTCCTACAAAATATTTAAAAAAATTACTCCTCTGAGTTTTGATCACCTAAGTCTGCAAGTTTGTTTTCCAAACGAAAAGATTGACAAAATGCTTGCATTTAAGAGTGTACTGTAATGCAACCCTCAACTGGGGATAATTTACCTGTTTAATTTAGTGAATGTTGAGTAAAAATGTGTTAACATTATCCATGTACTTTGTCATAATTCTTGTTCTGTTTCACAATAATCTTGGAGCTACAATCTGTCACATGGTAGTCAAAACCTGAAAATGAAACATGAAATTGCATTTACATGTGATATACTTGTGTAAGAACACTATGAACCCAAAATAGACCTCACTCAGTGGTATTGCTAGACTTGATTTCAAGTTAGGACAATTGACTTCAGAAGTTGTGAAATGTAAATGAAGAAACCGTTGTAAAGTCATTAAGTTCCTGGTTCTGTCCCATGAAGAAGCCAGGCCATGTGTAGGTGGTGGCTCATTGGAGGTTAATCTCCAGGATTTTATGAGATTTCCCTGCAAGCTCCTTGGGTCTCAGTAATACTTTAAGAGTAAACGTATCTTATCCAAAATCACAACTGGATGAGATATAGCTAGGTCTTGAACCTGACTGCAACTCAATCTTTAGTTCCACATGCTTATGATTAACCCAACACATGTTTATCGTTACCTGTACTGACTGCCTATGCAAAACAACTCCACCCAGTTACTTCTTGTGCAGTGATGTACATAAATGGCTACATGAGGGGCATGTCACTTGCTGCCATCAGCCTTCTTAACTGCTGGAGATCATAGGCAGTTTTACCCTTGGGTTTGTGTATTGAAGAATCAGTTAAGTAAATGTGTTCTTTGCATGACCAGATTAAGATGAATCATTTCAAATCTTTACTTTCTTGCCTCTGCACTAACCAGGTGATTCTCCTCCTTCCCCACTGTCCCAGCTGGAAAACAGTAAACATGTCTTTTTACACTTGAACTCCATATTTGATATTTCATTTAAGATATTCATGGCCAAAACCCTTCTAAACACGATTTTAATTAGGCTTGAAAAGCCAATATGCACCTTAAACATTATCTTGTACTGCAGAGGCAACCACTCCTTATACGCAGCGATTAAGCATCTGTCATGGTTCAACAACTAGCTACTGCACTTGTTACGATCGCCACTTCGGTTGAAGGATTCACTTGGACTTGCAGCCCCTGTTTGGTTCAAACTGAAGTTGATTTCTAGAATGGAACTTAAGAACTGACAATGAGTGTCTATGATGGTGGTTGTGAACTGGGGGGAACAGGGAGAGGTTGCCGTTGTAAAGCACATAAAATAACCTTAAAAACACTTGTGGAAGACATGGATGGCTTCATAGTGGGCGTTTGCTTTTTTAGTGAAGATATGGATTACAGAGATACGTAACCTTTTCCTTGAAAGATTTGATGACGATGATATTTTTCAGGACAGATTTCTTCTCTACGATGCAAACATAAATTTATAGCATTTAATTATTTGAAAATCTCGATGTGTGATTAGCTATGACATCTTTTCATCTTCATGTTTTCAGGAACGTGTGGTGCTGTGAATGTGTCTTGTTGATTCTAGGCATTTTCTCTTTACGATGATGTCAAGTATTGGCTTGAGATGACCATTGCCTGTCTTCTCAAATATGGGCCTTGCTACCTATGCTTTTGTATTTTTTGGAAGCACTACCTTGTGTTGCGATTCCTGTTGGTTGGCACCCCTGAATACAGTGGCCTATTGCCTGCCAATGTTGGCATTATGGTCTAGGGATGCCAACCGAGTTCAAGTAACTATGCCATTATAGGAGAAGTGCTGCCGTTTGGGTGCATATTTAGTCTGCACACTATGATATACCTCAAAACTGCCAGTATGACAACATAATGTTAGTTGTTGAATGTCGTTCAACATATTTTTATCAAGTACAACCTCCCCCAATGCATTATAAGCAGAGGAGCTTTTGAGCAGAGGAGCTTTTTAAGTTAGTGCTTTAGGTATGCTCTTGGAAAGGTGCCACATGTCAAATTGATGATCAACTTCTGGGAAATTTCTTTTCGTGTCAGCCCTTATACATGACACATGACAACATTACAACAACTATAATTCCCCCCCCTACGCAAATGTCCGATACACCCAACCTGAGTCGGGTTGTCTTCACCAGCAGGCAGATTGAGTCCAGTTGTGACCAGAACCAGAAATGGGGCCAAGGGGCTTGATCAGTGGTACCAGAAGTAAGAGGTTAACAGGAGCAAGGGGGGGGGGGTTGAAGAAGTTGGCCAAAAGACTTCATTGGATCTGATGGAGGCAGTTCATCCTGGCAAGAGTTGATTGGACTGCCTGCAGATCAGTTCGCGAGAGACAGAGAAAATATCTCTCAGCCATGAGGAAAAACAAGTGGGCTACAGATGAAATATATGTCATTCCTAAAGCCATGAGGCGAAATAAGTGTGCTACTTATGTAACATTCGTTGTTCTTTAAGCCTCCTTCTCAGCCAGTTGTCCAAAAAATTTGTGATCATGTTTCTGACTTTCATTCAGGAAAACAAAATACTCAGTGTTGCTGGGGCTTTGACTGTTAGACTCCCTTTTTTCTTGGTCTTCTAATAGCTGGTTGTTTGGTAGCAGGCTCCTTTTCATTGGTCTTTCTTGCACATTTATGCTTGAAGAATAGCAACTCAGAAAATGCAATATCGTTATTCCTGGCCATACTAGACGCTGTAGATTTTGGGCACTGTTGTTTTGAAGAATTCTTCTGTGGAGACAGTTTGCACCTAAATGTGATTGACCTTCTGTGGAATGGCAGACTTTCTACTAGAATATGACAGGGAGATATTCATTGAGAGGCTCCTGTCTTCAAACCCACAGTCAATAATGGATTTCGGCGTGATTTTGGGATGGCTACCCAGAATTTTGTTGAATTCTTTGTAATATGTGAAGGTTTTGTGATCATAACCACTTTTATTATCTTGATCTTTATTGTGCTTGTACTTGTCTTCTAAATTCTGTATCTTTGCCTTGCATTGGTTTCCTGTGTGAATGGACCCAATGCCCTGTTCCCTTAGCAGCTTATTTAGCTCACAGACAATTGATTTCCAATTGGAGGAATTGTGCCGCTTGCTTATGGGGTGATGGTCTCTCCCTACACATTTTAGAAACCCAATTTTTGCATCAGACCAGTTAGAAGAACAGTTCTTTGAACTGACCATAGTGCTGATGTCTACGCTGGAATTCTCAAGAGTTGAGATTGTTGGCAAAGTTGCTCTCAAATCCAGTTCTGCATTTTGAAATGTTGAGATGGTTGGCCAATTTGCTTGCGAATTGGGTTGTGCACTCACTACATTAAATTCAGGTTGTGGATGCCAACAAGGAAAAATGCACAGTCCACATGGAGTATCGCTGACAAAAGGTTGTACACGGGTGGAATAATGAATGTAGACCTAAAGCAAATAATTTGTTATGTTGGCTGGTTGCTTTACATTTCCAGTGTTTCATTAAAAATGAGATACTCACCTGGCATGGCTTAAATGCAGATCCTGTGTAGAGGAAGTGCCACTTTTTGGATAATTAAACAGATTCATTTTGTCTTTGCTTCCCTTTTTGTCCTTTTGCTTTGGCTAGAAGCATTTATTTCTCATTTGACAGGCTTGTCAAATCAATTATGCAAGTTGCTTCTCATTGGCAGAACTTAATTGCTGACTTGCTTAACCTACCTGGTTTGGTGGCTCAAATTAAACGGGAATTTAATTTAATTAAGCCAAACGCTTAAATTGAAGTGTGTTGAAAAAGCCTCTGTTATCATGAAATGTCCATTTGTCACTTGCTAAGTGACCTGAAAGTGTTTGTGAAAACCCAATCCTTATATCTAAACAGTTTAAATTAGTCCCATATGATAATATGAATTGCTGATGTGTTGAAAAGCCATCAGAATCCCAATATCATATGTTATTAAGAACAACAAAGTGTTGGCAGAGTTCTTTGAGATTTGCAAGTAGTTTTGTTATTGGCTGTCACATTCTTCACCTATTCAAACATTTATCAACTTTGGAGAATATTACTACGTTATCTTTACCTAGTATTTGTATTAGCTCTCCCTTGAAAGCTTATTTTGGTTACATTACAAAGCCATTTGTTACAAATAATAAGATTTTCATCATAGAACCTTGTTGTTGTCCTTGTTCTCTTGGAAAAATTGTCGCTAACTACATTTGAATGATGCCACTTGAGTATTGGTTAAAAAGGGTAAGAACTAGGAGACCCACAGTAATCAATTTATGCAACATTACTGTAGCGGACGGAGGGATCTAGAGACATTTTTATCGTTGCTCCGAACGCGATATTTAGATAAGACTTTATACTGAAACCAAGTAAGCCACTCGTATCGCTCAGAGCTCTTTAATTTCTTGATTTACTTGATTACGTAAAAACTGAAAGGATAATTACAACGAAAAGCCTATCACTATAATTCGTACAGAACATCGATTGTACAATAACAACGCAAAAAGGGGGCGTATCACGGTACTAGAAATTCACAAAATAACACTAATCACGAGCAATAATATAAGAGAAATACTATAACTAAATAGATTAATACAAATTACAACTACAAATCATACCTCTTTCTCCAATCTTAACTCTTTTCTTTCGGTTTCTTTAGAGTAATCAACGCTACTATATTCACACGTGTTATCTCGTCGCTTGATTAAGAAAACTGATCTGCTGAGCTATTTGCATCTCATAACCCAACGGAAGTTACACAATCATGGTTAACTATTACACATTAATCATTACAATTACACTTGGGGATGTGAGCATCCTGTGGGCTGCTTTGACTTTTTGTGGTGGCTTAAATTTAACGAGAATTTAAGTTGATTAAGCTGACTCGCTTAAATTAAAGTGTCTTGAAAAAGCTGCTGTTTTCATGAAATGTCCAATTGTCACTCGCTAAGCGATCTGAAAAAGTGTTCATGAAAACACAACCATAATATTTATACAGTTTAAATCAACGCCATAAGGGGAACAATATGAATTGCTGTTGTGTTGAAAAGTCATCAGATTCCTGATATCATATGGTATTAAACAAATCAAAACATTGGTAGAATTCCTTGAGGTTTGCAAGTAGTTTCTTTATTGGTATCACATTCTTCACCTATTCAAACATTTATCAACTTTGGAGCACATTACTACATTATCTTTTCCAAGTATTTGTATTATCTCTCCCTTGAAAGCTTATTTGGGTTACATTAAGAAGCCATTTGCTACAAATAATAACATTTTCATCATAGGACCTTGAGGTTGTCCTTGTTCTCTTGGAAAAATTGTCGCTAATTACATTTGAATAATGCCAAGTTATGCAACGTTACACTTGGGGATGTAAGCGTCCTGTGGGCTGTTTTGACTTTTTGTGGGGACTTAAATTTAATGAGAATTTAAATTCATTGAAACCAACTTGCTTAAATTAAAGTGAGTTGAAAAAGGTACGGTTTTTATGAAATGTCTGAATGTCACTTGCTGAGCAACCTGAAAAAGTGTTCATGAAAACACAACCATAGTAGTAAAAGGAAGGATGTATAAGAGGTAACCAATCAGAATCGAGTATTCGGTTCACGTGATTGAAATGGACCAATCAGAAAGTAGTATTTTGACATTCCATTCTGATGACGTCATAAGAAACTCAGAGAGGTTTGGTAACAAGTTTTGTGGGAAAGGTTGGGTGCGAGGTGCGCGGGTGAGCTTGGGAACGATTGCGTGTTAACTGATGAGGCTAAATCAACTGCGCAGACTCGAGGGACGTCAAAATAAGCCTTTTATTTTACAAACAATAAAATTTTACAATGATTTACAAATAACATCTTGTGAAAATATGATAAAAAATGTTTTTGGAAGAGAAGGTGGAAGAGGGTCTTCCAACGGTAGAATCATTTCTTTCTTGTAGCAGACTCTAGGGCTTTGTTTACACCATATGAGGCACCTGCTCCTGCGGCGGCCAATCTAATGGCTTTACCTCCAGCGATGAGGGCTGGAATGAGTGCTGCTAGTGGTAGGATACCTCCTTTCTGTCTTCTTTGTCTTCTTTTCTTTGTTCTCCACCTGTTTCGTGGTGCGTTTCGTCCTCGTGTCATCTCTTTTTTGGGAAAAATGATTGGTGAATAGAGAATGTGTGTGGGTTTTTATAGGAAAAAACATGGAGGAGATCTCTGATGAGGCATTGTTAAGTGCCGTAGAAGATAAAGAAGATATGCAACCCTGTGCAAACCAACGTAAACATAAGTTTAGTGATTGCTCCATGGAAAGTGAACATTTTGGTAGATGAAGGTGACAAGAAAGCGTTGTTTCTACCATGGATGTCTAAGGTGTTATCCAATACAATGTAATGTACTCGATCGGTTAGGATGAGGACAAACTATGAATGAACCAACTCTTTCACTGTTTAATCGAATGTAAACAACTTTATTCTTCATTACACATTTTTTCGAAACCACTATATATGGCTGTGTCCCAAGGATTGTAGGAAATGCTTCTTAGATAACGTAAAATAGATGTGATGTAATATTCTTTGTTCCAAAGTTCAAGTTCATTGTTTTTTTCCTCATAATGTTTTTTGAGGTTGGAGTAGTCATCTTTAAGTTTTTAGATCAGTTTTTTAACTCTTTTGTAGTTTTTTTTTTCCTGTTACTCCTCGTCATGATTGAAGAGCATTAATGGTGGATAGCGGATGTTTTCATCTTTCTTTACCCACTTTGTCCACAGTCTTTTGAAGGGATTTGTCTTTGATACAGGCAGACTGTTTGTAGGTTGAATCATATGATACTTTTCATTAATGGTGTGATTGTACCACGGTTGATTTATCCAACGTTTGACGGTTTGTTCGTTGGGTTCAGCTGTTTGGTCGAAATTTACCCTGAATGTCTTGTTGTCTTTTTGTCCAGGGATGATGAGGAAATAGGTGTGTTTTACTATAATGTCTTTATTGTAGAATTTACAGTGGTAAAGATCGATGTCCATGATGCTGTGGTTAGTTTCGTGGAGTGGAGATGCATTTATAGCTGTAGGGAAATGATTGAAAGGTGTCATGATCGATGACTCGTTCATCTAAAACGAGTTTGTAAGTTTTGTCTTGTGATGCTGTTTTTATCGTTTTAGTGGATGAACATCTTGTGATTTTGTGTGGGTTGTGGAGTGTTAATGTGTGCTGATCATCATCATCTTCTGGTTGTAGTATTTCGTTTAAAACTAGATCTTTCATGCTGTTGAAATGAAGGATGTTTTGTCCTCAGTTGTTGAGCGTGAAACCTCTGACTTTGCAGCATTGTTTTCCTTTGAAGGTGTTGTAGGCATGGTTTTTGGGTCCTGCAGCTACGAATTCAACGATGTGGTCTCCTTCATCTAATTCGTTGCTGAATTGGCTCAGATAGTTGCCAATGGGTATTGAAGATTCTGTGGGTTTCTGGGTGTAAATGACAGAATCTGTGTCCATGTACAATACTCTTTCTTTCAAGATGTCTAGAGCATTGTATAGTTTGAGTCGTGCATAACTTGTGGTAAAGCAGGCAATAAAGATGTTCATGTTTGTTTGAATTGGATCGCATACTTCTTGAAAGGAGTGGTAGACTTCTACCACATGTTAGTTGACAATTTTGATTCTATGTATGCATGTATGTATGCTATGTATGTATTTCTATGTAATTCAGAGGGTTTTGTGCATCTGGTGAGTTGGGTTTGGTTGGGGTGTTGTCCGAACTTTCCCCAGAAAGAATTGAACATCAATTTAGGGAGGGAATGTAGACCTGGGTTCTTTTCGATGCGCTGATAGTCTAGTTCGATACCTTCATGCTCTTTGTATTCTTTCAAGTAGTTTCTTTTCTTTTCATCGGTGTCACATTCTGGAGGCCATCCTGAAGCTTCTTGTTTGATTTTCATGAAAGTTTTTATGTAGGGTTGAAAGAGTTGGTTTGAACGTTGATTGAAGTGCCATACTTTGTAGTGATGACATACCCTTTTTGGATAGCTTTTTGAAGTTCCAGGGTGGTCCATGTACCTGTGAGGGTTCGTTCCTTATGGGAATGTGTGCAGGTTTCGCTTCTTCCTAGAAGTGTTTCCTTCATTCCTTGTTCCGCGCATGTTCTGCAGAGTGGAAAAAGGAGTTTGGAGTCGTATCTGTGTGGTAATACAGGATGATATAGTTCGTAGGGTGGTAAAATTTTACATTTTACCAATCGGTAATATCTGGAGATGTCTGGGTATGGGGTGGGATGGGGTAGTCACATTCTAGATTTGCGCATGGATACAACAAAATCATATTGCTGTAATGGATTTTTTCGTTTTCTTGAAATTTATGATGAAATTTGATAGAATTGGTTCTTCCACCAAGAAAGGCTTGGCGAGGGTTGAGAGGTGTGGCAATATCGAGTGTATCGATAAATTGTTTAAGTTGTGGATCTGCTTGTATCATACGATTCCATTCCCATTCCCACATTTCTTTGACACGGTATCCCAATTGGGATAATTGTTGGATTCTTGTTCTTGTTTTTCGATGGACATTGCGCATAGTTTTGTTCAAGTTAATAGGGTGTCTCATGGTGCGATTGGGAAAGCAATCGATACATCCATGGTAGAAACAACCCTATAACTTGTAGAAGGTCTTTGTTTGCTCGTCATATCCATCTACCTGGGATGTTTTTTGTCCGTGGAACAATCTTCTTTCACCTTTGTTTCTGGCATGAGCAATTCAGGGCACATGATTGGTTTTTGTCAGTTTTGATTCTTCTCAGTAGAACCATTTTTGAGCAGCATGGGATTGAATGTGACGGGGATGCCATCCCTGTACTGGTTCTACGGCGATTTTGTTTTCAGGCATCCATTTTTTGTGGTATGCCACATTGCAAGTGGAAGCAATGGTGATGCAATGTTCTAATGTATAAGTCGACAATATCTTTGAACTGGGATTGAAAGGTCATACACCCCTGTTTGAGGAGTCTTTCATCTGATTGGCAATAGGTTAAGAGTTCATGTTGAAAATTGAAAATGTATCTTTCAGATACTTTTTCATCGTACCACTTGTGGAATTCATCTTAGCGCGCTGTGGACATACCGTCAGGGTCGTAGTAAGATTTGTCAGGCATGTACCCAACATAGTTTTGATATTGCTGGGTGTTGAAGAAATGAGGGTAAAAGCCTTTCTTTGATTCATGAATTCCAAATGTTTTGGAAAGTTCGACAAAGCCATGGGGAAAAAGTTCATGGAGTCGATGAATTTCACATTGGTTAATTCTAAACTGAGAATCTTGGCTACATTGACGATTTGCGTGAGATTGGTGACATGTTGATTGTAGAGTTCTTTGAGAATGAAGTACCTGTCATAACCTTTGAAGTTGTACACTACTAATAATAATAGAATATAAGCATTCCTCTACATTTTCAGCCCTTTTCCTCTACTGCTTGACAATCGTTTTCTAATTAGCTTCTAAATTTAGCGCTAGTGTCTCGTTGAAAGTCCTTGATATGTCGCTGAATTCTGGGTGATGCCATATGAAACTTTCTGAAGATCTTGTGCCCCTGTGTGATCTTATGCCCCATGTGAGAAAGAATCAGCCAAATTGAGGCAACCCATATTGGTCTTGCCTCAAGTGGCTGTCACTCTTTACTACATGGTTTCCCTAAGTTTCAGAGGAGTTTTTGCTACAATTGCTGAATACATAAGCTCAATATATCCATGTCTACCTATCAGAGAGCAAGAAGTGAAGGAATTTTTTCTGCAGGAATATGCATGAGCAACTCCCAGCAGAATTTCAATTTTACTATTTGTCTAGATTAAATTCTAGTCATGTTTTGACGGCATTTTGATGTCATTGGTCAAGGCAAGAAACAGCTTTGTAGCCAACCAATCAAGAAAGTTTGTGGATTAGTTGATGTGTGTAAATGGTTGGGAATCTGGATTAACTTGATGTGTAAATGCCCACAAATCCACTAACTCTAAAATGGAATCTGGAAGAATCTCCTCTAATGTAAACCTAGTCTAAGTTCAAATAGCAATTCTGTAGAGAAAGTTTCAAGTTTTCAAGTTTCAAGTTCAAGTTTATTAAGTTTGCAGGAAAATCTTTGCACAATAATCACCTCCTGCAAATAGCGAGCTAATCTAGGCAGGTGGTGTTAAGGACATACAACACGAATTACAAAAACACGAATTATGCGAATTACTCGATTTTGCATACATTATTTAACAAAAGAGGGAAAAGGTGATAAAAAGTAAATTAATATATTATGTTTGAATTATAATTAAGATGCCTTTTTTATTTCAGAAATAAGAGTGCTAGTGTCAGCATAACTATCCAGATTTCCTAGAGTTGCAAATAGTAATGCTTGAATTTTCTTTTTGAATATGTGCTTCGGCAGACTTCGATAGCTTTTGGGAATACTGTTCCAAATTTTAGCCCCAACGATAGAAAAAGAGTTTATATGATGATTAAGCCTGGAATAGTTAATATAGTAGTTACCAGAAGATACTGATCGGGTATTATACTGATGTATGTCTTGTGTAGAAATAAAAAGATTGCAGATATTTTTAGGTGCTGAGTTAGTGGTTATATCAAGCATTAAGATTGATGAAAGTTTGAAGTAGAGCATTGTTATTGGCAGGATGTTAGATTGCGTGAAATATGGAATCACATGCATTCTGAAAGGCAGAAAGTAGATGAAGCGAACAGCTCTCTTTTGGAGTATAAGAATTTTTTCTAAATAAGATTTAAGGGCTTGGCCCCAGGCAATGAGGCCGTAAGATATATAGGGAGAAATTAAAGAATTATAAATACTTAGAAGTGTTTTTAAGGGGACAAAGTGTCTTAGTCTCGAAATAATTCCAATATTTCTGCTGATTTTTAAAGCAATATAATTAATGTGATGTTTCCAAGATAAATGTTGGTCAATTATTACCCCTAGGTATTTAACATGATCCTTACGTTCAAGATCAAAAAACGTTTTAGTGCGGCTATCATAGGCCTTAATGCGGATGTTAAAATTAATGCGTTTTTGATATGGATGAAAAATTATATAGTTTGTTTTCTTAATATTTAAGGAGAGTTTATTAGCGATTAACCAGCCGACAACCTTAAATAGTTCACAGTTGATGATAGTTTCGAGAGATTTTAGGTTTTTATCAGCATATAAAAGGTTCGTGTCATCAGCAAAGAGATAAAAGGTTAGTTTGTCAGAGGCCATGTAAATGTCATTTACAGAAATAAGAAACAGTAGGGGACCAAGTACACTCCCCTGAGGAACACTGCAAAGGGTATTTTTTTTCTAGATACGTGGGGACCAACTTGCATGGTTTGGATTGTATTTGACAGATAGGAGGAGAACCAATCGTTTACTATACCACGAATGCCATAGTGGGATAATTTATGAAGGAGGATAGAGTGATTGACAGTATCAAATGCTTTTTGAAGGTCAATAAATACACCACAGGAGAACATTCCCTTGTCCATGTTTGATTGAATTTTGTTAACAATATCAAGGATTGCATGCTCAGTTGAGCGCTGTTCACGGAAACCGTACTGAGACTCATAGAATAGGTTATGTTTGCTAAGAAAGGACTTTAGGCGGTGGTACATAATTTTCTCAAAGAGTCTATTAAAGACCGAAAGAAGTGATATTGGACGATAGTTCCCCGGTTCAGCTTCATCCCCATCCTTAAATATTGAAATGATCTTGGCATGCTTAAGTTTGGAGGGGAAAATACCCCTTTGAACTGAGTTGTTTATAAGAGTTGCCAGAGGGGCTGATATAATATGACACGAACATTTAAGTAATCTAGTTGGACACAAGTAAAGTCCATGGGACTTGTTTGTTGGCGTAAGCATTATTTCAAGCTCGATTTCAGAAGAAAGAACAGAGTCAAACACAAAAGAGCAGGAAGGAACATTTAATGGGAGGTAATCATGAAAAGACTTATCGTTACTTGGTAGATCAGAGGCGAGACAGTTTCCAATAAAAGCAAAATGGCGGTTGAGTATATTAGCATTTTCTAGGGATCATGGGATATCCCCTGGTTTAAAGGGCGTTTCATTGCCGCAATCACCTTCGCGTTTTTCTTTTTACGGTTGATCGAATCATTAATCGCTTCCCAGGTCCGCTTGAGGTTCTTTGTATTGTTTTGGAAATAATTATGGAAGTAAATTTTTTTACTAAGACGAGTTATTGTTGAGATTTTGTTTCTATACATCTTAACGAGTTTAATATTACCCCCATCAAGAAGTTTATTTTTCATTTTAATGGATTTTCAAATTCCTTTTGTAATCCATGGTTTAGAAAAAGATTTGAGCTTCCGCCAGGATATTGGTTTTAATGGAGCGTGCTTATTGATCAATTTATTTAATATATTGTAAAAAGAAGAGAAAGCCTTATTGATATTAGTTTCATTACGGGAGACTATGTCAACCCAATCAATACGTGACAAGTTGTGTATAAAATTTTCTTTAGAAAATTGGGAAAAATCGTGTGCAAGAGGTCTGTCGGGTTTGCCTTTGACTACAAGTGAGCTTGTTAAACAAAACTGCAAGAAGTGGTCACTAATATCAGAGATTATATTGCCACTAATGACATTCTCATTAACTTTGTTTGTAAATATATTGTCGATTAATGAGAAAGAATTTCTATGCACACGGGTTGGTTTGTCGATGCAAGGAGTTAAATTAAGGCTCTGGAGAGTTAGAAGAAAATCTTGTGCATAGTTGCAAGAATCAAAGGAAAGGAGATTAATATTAGTGTCAGTCATGACATATAGAGGCTTGCCAGTAGCTATAAGGTTTTCTGCGGTTTCCTCAAAATACTTTAGGAAAAGCTCAAGTGAATTATGCTGACGATATAACACTCCGCAGATTATGTTTGCTGCATTTGTTTGAAAAATTTCAACCCATAATGCCTGAAAAGCTTCGTTAGAGCTTTTCTCTAAAACTGGGTATCTTATCTCTGAATCAATATACATGCCGACGCCACCAGCTGAAAGAGGTGTCGGGACGTATTCAAAAGTGTAACCTGGAATTTCAGGATTGAAGTCCATAGAATTTGCATTTCTAAGTCTGGTTTCGGTTACTCCAATAACACTGAAATGATAATTAAGTTCATCGAGCAAATGGGTTTGGAAGTTTTCGAGATTTCCTTTTAAGCTGCTAACATTGTTATGAAAAAAAGTTAAATGACTTTCAGAACGTTGTTCATTTAACTGATTTTTTAGCTGACTAAAACTATACAGGGAATAGTATTTACAGCGGATAGGATAAATAGCAGAGAAATCTGTGTTGTAAAATTTACTGTTTACAGAGTTCAGACTGAAGATATCAATGTCATATAGGCTAGGTAATCGTTCAAGATATTTTTTAGAAGGAAGGTTATCATTTGTTAAGAGATTATTATATTTGTCATGGCACTGGATTATGGAGCTCTGCCCACGGTACGGTAATTCAAGGAAGAAAGCTTTATTTTGCTTAACTTCGGTTGAAATCGCCATTGCTAAATATTAGAGCACTAAAATCTTCTAGTTACAGTCATACAAATACTTAGCTGAAGGCTTCCTGTTCATCTTGGATGATCCGAGAGAGATCGTCAGGGCAACGGACTTTTAAAGAACGTGAATCTTCTGATCTGCGAAGGAAAATGGTTCCATTTTTGACCCAGCAGAACTGGAAACCAAACCTGGTCTTGAATGACTTGGTGTTCCCGTACAACTCCTGCATTCTTGGTGTAAGATGGTCAAGGATTAATATTTTAGACATGTCCTGACTCTCTTCTAAACCAACGTCTCGCCACACTCGAGGCATGCCTTCTTGCCGCCATGACATTATTTCTCACGAGTCTCCTTACAAATTTGCAAATGATTGGTTTGGGGTTGGAGCGAGAAGAGTCACGAAAAGGGACTCTGTGAGCGATATCGATGTCGTTAATAGTAATGTTAGCGCCCATGTGATTGAACAGATTGAACTTGCTTGATTCAGACAACAAAACTATCAAAGTTCATGCTGATGAAATGTATGGGGAAGATTCAGCTTCATTCAAATTGCACTTTTGAGTGTGGGATTCACACAAACTGAAAACCACTCATACTTTATATTTCAACCATGTTCTTAAAGCCAAGAAGGGAAAGAAGTGCACTACACACGAAAAAGGTTATTCTTTAAGCTATCATGCAACACTCGATCTCCAAAGTCAACATCATGAAACAAGCATGTGACACATGTGTATACTCTGTTCTTTAAACCGTGAAGCTGAACAACCAAAAAACCAACAAGTTATTTGTAATCCAATCACTTTATTGTATGGGAAATCAACCTGTATTATAACTTTACATGTATAATTTGCATTTATAAATTCCACCCCTTTCACTATACTTTACCTTGCTGTATATTTCTAAGTCATGTGAAATGACATGTGGGGAGTCCGATGGACTCTTTTGATGTTTGATCCTGACATGTTTGAATTATCTGAATCTTCCTGTTTTGTGGGTAGGTAAATACCATTTTCTCTTGGAGAGACTTCTGGGGAGGCAGCAGCTTCAGTTGCTTTTTCCTTGCTTTTTGCAATTTAATGGCTATTAACAAAATAAAATAATTACCTATAACAAAGGAAATGCCATAAGGAAAGTCTGTAGAAGAGTCTAAGACCCCATTCTCAGACAGACCACCTAACTAAATATATAGTTTAAAACTATAATTAATGTGATTAATTAAAAATCTGATATAAGAATTCTAAAATATGCGACAGTGAATTATTCATAAAGAGGTTCCTCATGTCAAGCTTACAACTTGAGATACTAGACACTGATCTAACTGAAAATGGGAATAAATTCCACATATCAACAATACAATTAAAAAACTAAACTTAAAAGTGTTTGTACTAGCATAATTCTTCTTTAAAGTAAGTCCATCTTTCTCTCTTGAAGGGTACGTAGCAGTATCAGAGTAAAATTGTACAGCTGAAGAGATGTCAATGCCAAAATAACCATTCAAAACTTTAAAAAAAATAACACATTGAAAAGAAATAGTCTATGTTTCAAGGACAGCAAGTCTATGACTATGATACTAGAAACTAGAGTTGCTAGTATCATAGTCATCTTCGCATTTATTTTAAAATAAACTTTGGAGCTCAACATTGCACTCTTGAACATCGCAATATTTCTGGCAGCAAAGGGTGACCATACAAGACGCAAAAAAGAGTTCTAAGCGTAGAAATATCTCTCAAATCTCTGCAATTTCTTTTGAGGAAACCAAGCACCTTGTTTGCTTTGCTGGCGATCTTGTCTATGTGAGAGTTCCAGTACAATTTAGAATCAGTTACTAAACCAACATCTGAGAACTCAGAAGTAGCTTCAAGGGGAGTACCATCCAGTAGTAGAGGAGCAGAGATTGGACATTGTTTTTTAGTGATCTGCAATAACTTAGATTTCTTTGTATTAAAGTTCATTTGATTTCTTTTAGCTCAGGAGGCCAGATTATTGAGATCTTTATTAAATGATTCATGATCGTATGGACATGGATAACTCTTAAGGTTTTGCAGTCATCTGCATACAGTGCAACTATACTTCCAGAGGAAATAGCATTGGGCAGATCAATAATAATATCACAAAAACCAAGGGGCTTAAGATGGACCCCTGGAATACCCCTGAGGAGATAGTGCGCCAGTCAGAACTAATCCGTCTATTACTACCTGTTGCTCATGATTCATAAAGTAGTCCTTGCACCAGTTCAGGAGGCAACCAGACACACCAAAGTTACATAAGTTCTGTAGTAAGATAACATGAGACACTTTGTTAAAAGACTTACTGAGATCCTTACTGAGATCCTTACTTACTGAGAGACTTACTGATTGAAAATATGTAGAAATCTTACATTAGTCTTCTTATAATTAGTTAGGAATTTAGTTTTATTGGATTTAGTTAGGAATTTAGTTTTATTGTCCGTACACGACCACATCAGCTTTTGCTGAATTTTTTTATCGTGTTTAAATAAATGCTGTTGTTGTTGTTGTTTGTTGTATCCAAGAAGACTTCATCGACTTGGTTCCTTGCATCCAAGGCTTTAGTCCACTGATGATGAGACAGCACCTGCTGAGTGATGGAGGATTGACCCATAATAAAACCATGCCGCCAGTCATTTAAGTAAGGAGCTACATGTGGAAAAATAGCCTGATGTACAATCTTCTCCTGACACTTGCTGGGAATCGACAACAAAGAGATTCATTTGGTTCTTGTTATCAGACTTGAAAACAGGTGTAATGTTAGCTCTTTTGCACACCTAAGGAAGCACACCCAGTTTAAAAGAAATGTTGGAGAGAGTTGTTAGCGGGTATGAGAGCTTTAGTGAACATTCTCTCAAGATTCTCGTTGGAATGTTATCAGCTCCTGTCGCCTAGCTTACATCTAACTTAACCAAAACGTTCTGGACTTAGAAGCAGTTGTTGATGCTTCTATAAGTAGGTCAGAATGTACTGTCCCGTACCCAAGTGTAGGGAACGGTAAGTGTCAACCACAGCATGCAAAACTTGATTTTCTCAGCTTTATTCACAAACCAAATATTGCACACATGCGGTGAAAACTGCGTAGCAAATTATGATTGCGTAATTAGAAACAAAGCTAAAGAAATTACAAGCAAAATAGAAATCAAGAAAGGCAAAAAGCGATCAATATGTACAACGGTAACTCACGTCTGATCCTGCGTAAAAAGAAAGGTGAGCAAATAACTCCGAAAAGGCAACTCCGGTGACTCCAAAAGGAAAACTCCAACTACTCCGATCACAGAGTGGTTATGCAAGCGATTCCTTATTTAAGCTAGATTGATAGTTAAATCACATGGTACAATAAGCTCCGATTAATGATTAAAAACATGAACATTGGAACGATAAAAAACGATCATAAAAATAAACAAAGCTGCAATGATTGAATTGTATATGGAAACAAAACACGAATTCTAACGTTTCTTTTCTCTATATTACGGATACTTAAATGTTCATCACATGTACCACATCATTCTGTAATCCTGCAAGATCAACACAGTTAGCTATGAAAACAGAAGGAAAAAACTCATTAAACAATGGTACCTTCTGTGCTGGATCACTAACAGACTTATACTGCCACTAATGTCTCTAATTGTCTTCTACTGGCACTTCTCTGTGGCAAGATTGACTTTTCCTCATCACTGAGTTGAGTTGGGCTGGTCTTTCTTGCAGTGGAAGTGTTCCTAGTGACTTCAAATTCTAAACTTCTTCTGCACAGGGCAGCAGGGAACTCACCAAAGGTGTCCTAGTTTCTTTTTTGCGAGGCATAAATATACAGCATTGGCATAATGAATAACGAAATGACTAAATAAATGAATGAAAGAATGAACAATGAGAAATAATGCAAAATTATAAAATAATATGTTTAAAAATAAACATCATAATAATTGTAATGCTATTAAAATAATAAGGTAAAGTATTAAAAAAATTCATATTTATATATTGTGGAGGAATTATTATTAAAAGTAGGGACTGCCCTTAAATTTTCAGTCTACTTGTGGCAGGGGTAAAAGATTAAATGCTGATGACAACGTTTGTCCTGTTCCCGGGTACAGTTAATATATTTTGCAGAAATAAAACTTGTTCATTTTAATATTACCTTGTCCTGAAGTCTTTGAACACTTTTCTTTAAAGCACCAATTTCCTTTGAGTTGGAAAGATATTCTGTCCTGAGCTAAGCCCTCCATTTGGTGAATTCTGCAATAGGAAAGTGCATCTTGCATTTCTTCGCTGCTTTTGATTGGCTTCTTCTTGACCCACTTCCCATGCAAACATCTCAACAGTCTCCAGAAACTTATGAATCTCCATGAGGTGGAGGTGTCCAACACAAAAATGAAAGGATAGAAACACAGCCGAGAGTGTTTACGACAGTTCTTTCGTTGTAATGATGATGATCATGAGACAGTGACCACATGACATGCCACAATAGCAATAATGTTGCAGCCTCTTTGATTCAGCAGCATCTGCTATCTGACGCTCTGAACATTGGTCTGTATCTGATATGACTAGACAGCTGTTATGTCTCTCATATACCATCACATGCATTGCGGGTGATGATTCAAAGTCCAAAGAAATTCTTTGGTATTGAGTGCCACATGAGCCTAAATGTTGCAACAGGATCCTGAATTTTGCTATCAAACTTGGAAAGACCAGCACAAAGCTGAAATTCTCAAACTTGTGACAACAGTGGAAAAGCCCTGGTAAATCTGACTGAACGTTTGTGCGTTAAGTAAATGGGGTGGTTGTCAAGAAGAAACCAACCATATATTGAAACACTAAACCCCAGGCTTAAATCCACAGTTACTTGGTACTTTGGCAGAGGGTGAATATCATGAAACATGCTGAATGCTATAGACCTGTTATCTTCTTTTGTTGATTTAGTCCAACCACTCAACTTAAGACTATCAACATGCTTAAGACTATCAACAGAGTTTACAGACTGAAGGAACTGTAGGTTTGGTTCTATCATCAATACGTAGGGTGAGATATTCACCCTACATGTTAGTATTTTGGCTTTCATGACACGCTGCACCCAAATATTGAGCAGTTTGCTCCAGGCATCACCTTATATATTAAGTCTCTGTACTGGCAGCCAACTTCTAGTGTGCACCTTTGATTTCATGTGACCCCTTTGATATGATGTGTGACAGTTTTCCCAATTACTTGAGTCGTGCATAATTCTGCAGTGACAAGGATGTTGTCAGAAAAAAGACATTTCAGTGAACAATTGAAATCAAAAGGAAAGCTGTTGTCTTTTACAAAGATAGCCATAGTTGTATCTGAAAACACTTCTTCCATTGTTAAATAAAACATCAAAAATCAGAAGACTATGATGGCATTTTATATTCAGTGGTACATGGCAGAGGATTTTGTCTCAACAAAAGCTAACGAAGTCTCATGAATAGATAACTTAAAATAAATCAATATTGTGAGGTGTTGATCAAAGAAACACAAGTTAGTAGGTTTTTTCAAACATATATTAGTTACACTTCTATTACACGTCTTTATCAACCTACATTTACTAGAAGACAATGGAATAGGCCTTTTGCAGGAGTTGATCATGTGACCAATCTCCCCATAGTAACGCCGTGTTGACTGGCAAGCTATTATCCGTAATGCATGACAACCAGCTGTTACTTCTGAATTGAAGCGTGTCTTTCAATAGCATTTAAAGTGATCTTAATCCTTCTCTTTCACAAGTGTAATATCTTATTGCCAGTGCTTAGTATACTGTGATGTTTTTGAGAGTTTTTACAAATGTAAGAAATTTTTGACAAAGTTTTGACTTCCTGATGTGAGCACCAACAAGACAAACATGGCAGACTCAGTGATGAGTAATTATTGTAAGTTTTGCCATTATCTCTCCATTTTTTTTTTTGAAATTTAAAACTGTTCTAATGAGGCCTTAAACTGCTGTTTAAAAAGTAAAATCTAAAATCCAAGCTTTCGCTGATCAACAGCATCATCAGGGATCCTTGATGACACCGTTGATCAGCGAAAGCTTGGATTTTAGATTTTACTTTTTTAAACGGCAATTTAAGGTCTCATTAGAACAGTTTTTATATTTTTAGCTATGCTGCTGAAGGACAACAAGAACAGATTACTCTTTTGAAATGTTTTATAAATAGTAGCAAAACAATCTTTCTTTTAACAGCTAATGGGACTCAAGACTTGTCTTTGATTGAGAATTTGACATTCAAGGACATGGAGACTTGCGCCAAAGTAAAGTCTGGATGTCAAAACACTGAAGGTGTACAAATTTTCCGCCAAACCTGGCTATCTACACGGAATAAAAGATATTTATTTCCAACTGAATATTCGCATGCGCTTTTGTGAAAACATGAGTTTAATTTTTATGCGAACTAGTCGCTATAGTCGCATAAGGCTATAATCAAATCTTATTTTAATTTCCATGCAAAGTAGTCTTGATTTTGTATGATTTGCAGTGAAATGGAAGCATTCTAGATGCTCTGCGTGCACTGATTGGACCATATTCGCAGGCGATTTTGTGAAAACCTGAATTTAATTTATATGCGAAACAGGCTTTGTTTTGGAACATTTGCCGTCAAAGGATAGCATAGTAGATGCGTTTTATCCAATATTGGGCCATATTCGCATACGGCTATAATCAAATCTTATTTTGATTTCCGTGCAAAGTAGTCTTGATTTTGTATGATTTGCCGTGGAATGGAAGTATTGTAGATGCCCTTCATCCACTGATTGGGCCATATTCGCTTGCGTTTTTGTGAAAAACTTGACTTTAATTTTTTGCGAAATGGTCTTAATTTTGGAATATTTGCCGCGAAAGGGTAGCATAGTAGACGCGTTTTATCCAATATTGGGCCATATTCGCATATGGCTATAGTGAAATCTTATTTTAATTTCCAAGCGAAAGTAGTCTTTATTTTGTATGATTTACCGTGAACTGGAAGCATTCTAGATGCTCTTCATCGAATTTATGCGAAAAAGTCTTTATTTTGGAACAATTGCCGTGAAATGGTAGCATTTTATATGCGCTTAATATGATATTGGGCCATATTCGCCTGCGTTTTTGTAAAAACTTTACTTTAACTTTTATCCGAAATAGCCTTGGTTTTTGAACAGTTACCGTGAAATGGTAGCATTCTAGATGCTCTTCATCGATTATATGCGAAAAAGTCTTTATTTTGGAACAATTGCCGTGAAATGGTAGCATTCTAGATGCTCTTCATCGATTATATGCGAAAAAGTCTTTATTTTGGAACAATTGCCGTGAAATGGTAGCATTCTAGATGCGCTTCATCCAATATTGGGCCATATTAGCATGCATTTTTGTGAAAACTTGACTTTAATTGTTAATTGAATATTTGCCGTAAAAAGGTAGCGTAGTAGCGCGTTTCATCCAATATTGGGTCATATTAGCATACGGATATAGTCAAATCTTACTCTAATTTTCATGCGAAAAAATGTTGATTTTGGAACATTTGCCGTGAACGGGTAGAATAACACCCCTCTGTAACACAAACCCGACCCAGTGGATTATTTTCCCCTACCCAGTGGAAAATTTAGTCTCCCCAGCTATGTCAAGGGTCCCCCTACGAAATTTAACGAAAATCACTAAAATCACTAAATTCACTAAAACTACAAAATTTTGTAGTTTTAGTTAATTTAGTGATTTTAGTGAAAATTTTGATTTTAGTAATTTAGTGAATTTAGTGAACTGCCTTGCAAAATTTTGCAGTTTTAGTGATTTTAGTTCACGAATGCGTTCAATCCTGGACATAAGTGCAAGCATACAACATAGTGTCGTCAGGTTGATGATGAAAAAAGTGCGAGGCAATAGCTTCCAGATTTGAGGAGGAGGGGGAGGGGCAGTAAAGGGGGATTTTTAATTACATTGTATCTCTGGAAAAATACTGGCTACGTGCGACACACTTCTTTCCTTCCTTCAGTTTAATTATTTAGCCACTATAAAGCAGCCAATTTCGGGGATAACGAATAACGGTAAATTAATAGAAACCCCTCATTTTCGACAACTGGCCATGTTTTTATCGAATAACTTTTTACAAAAACCTAGTCGAAAATAAGCCGACCCAGTGGGAAATTGGCCAATCCAGTGACTTTTTTCCCGAAAACCCAGCGAGGATAAAGATTCCACTGAGTCTGTTACAGAGGGGTGTTAGAATAGTAGACGCGTTTCATCTTATATTTGGCCACATGATCTGCATAAGGCTATAGTCAAGTATGCAAAACCAATAGCAGCACTTTCAGTTAAGCCCCGGTAAATTATGGGTTCCCAGTCGTCATTCCCTGGGATATCCCTCTAGATCCTTTTTTTAGGTGGCTAATAACCAGATGTTTCGGCCACCAGGTATAAAATCAATGCATTTGTACCAGTCTTTAAGGTCGCGGTGGATAGGATTCTCATCGGTATGTATTTATGTAAAGAATATGCACGAAGTCAGGCGATTAAAACCGACAATATGCGATATATAATCGCACGTAATTTATATCGCGTAGCAGGAGCCTTTTTGCCGGTGCATTTATAAAATATTGAGCGCGGCAAACCATGTACATGCGCATGTCGGCAGAAACTTTTGACACGATAGGTTGAAATATTTTCGCAATTTAGTAAAAAAGAATTGAGTTTTTGTAATTAATACTGGTAGTAGGAATAAAGTATGAGTTGATTAAAAAAATCCTTACTGTATGTATTCAGCTACTACTCTCAAAACGCCGCGCAGTGGTGTATTCTATTAATATGTGCAGCGAATTTCAAAGTATTGCTGATTTCTGCGTGCACTTATCTTGGTTTGGTCCGTGCAGCAAAATTTTACCAAAATTACCATAATCACAATTTGAGTTAATCAGCTCCCTCGTGTTTGCTTGGAAAGCCTTCGGAAGCGTAAAAACAAGCAATTTTGTGTCCAAGAATATAGCGCGGACAGAGAATTTCACGAGCTGACACGGCAGGGGGATAAACTAGACATATTGTAGATTGTCATATCAGAGGCCGAATTTTCAAAATAAGCCTTAGAAGGTAAGATTGAAGCCTTTAAATTCTCGCATCATAAATTTTGCGCCTTTAAAGGCAAATATCTTTTAAAGAAACTTGAAATTAAAAAATCGGCCTCTGACTTGACACAATAGATGTTGTGATAGATCACTCAGTGGTTAAATCAAGTTTCTCTGTGTCTGTGTCTTCGTCTTCGGGGTGAAAACCTGGACACAAAATCACATTTTAAACAAATTTAATTTAAGTTGCTGTCTGCATTGCCCTCAGACGCCATCCACTCAATATTAATCAATGCTTATGCACTTTGATAATTCTTCAATATGTCTGCTAAGTTTTGACGAAATCGGCTTTGAACTGTTCATGATATTAGGAATTTAAAAGTGATACCCCTGCAAATATTTTGCCTAATGAATATATTCATGGTCAAGGTATCCACCGCGACCTTAAGGGACAATTGCACGCAAGATATATATAACTTTATACGCATAGCCTGCAGCTTGCTTTAATTGTGATGCTATTGTGTTGCACTAGGATAGGAGAAAAATGCTAAAAGTGGTGAAAGCAAAGAAGTATCAACAGATAGAAAGAAAGGCTAACAGATGGTAAGCAACAGATGGTATAAAGGATTCCTGTCAAAAAATTAATTGCAATATAATCCACTTCCATCCTTGCCGTCCTGTACCACTTGCTCAAAATACCCGTTAATTTCTTTCTTGTTTGGTGGGATCTTTTTGTCTAGTGTAATCATGTCTTGTGGCATTTGGCAATATTACAGTCAGTTGCAATGACATTATCAAAGAAAAAAGAAAAAGGTTAAAAAGCAAATAGGAATTAAAGTTAGGCATTATAAATACAAGTTTGAAATTCGCCTGAAGAAACGGCCTTAACACACACGTAAATGAATTTATCTTACTATACACGAATATGTGAACAGAGAAAAACTCGTGAGTTTTCTGTAAATGTATGTAATGTAA